GAAATGAATATTTGAAAGTAACTAATTATTAAGCTGGACCCATAATCAACAAGTCTCCTACCCAGGAGGCACTGGGAGTAGCACAGCTGCAATTATGAATTAGAGCAAAGAACACTGTTCATTCCAGCCCTTCCAGTGAGTTCATAAAGAGGAGATGTTGTTACAATTCAGGCTACAAAACCCTGTCTGGGAGTGGGAATGCCAGCAAAGGTTTAGCAAGAAGCATATAGCTTAATTTTGGAATCAGCCCATATTTGATGATACATGGTTTAGCCAAGTAAGTTTGGACATTCACTGAACATTGACTTGCCTTGAAATATAAACAAGTAGAAGGAGGGGCATACAATGGAGAGGAATGTATTGGTAGTTGTAGAACCAAAATAATCTAATGATGCTGAGCATCCCTGCTCATATAGCACAAAATCTCAGCAAAAGAAATGAAATCAACTGATATTATTCAAAAGCACTGCGCAAAGGCAATGTGGCTGAAGCCATGGGATAAATCTGCATCTTTGGCAATGTGATTGGAACATTCTTAAGGATATTTTAGATCTCTGCTTTAAATTCTTAATATTTGTTTTAAGAAAATCAATCTCTAATTTAGTTTTTAAAGTTAAACAGTGGAGGGAAAAATGGGCATACATACAACCTTACTTGTAATTATACCTTGTAATTTTAGTTACTGGACTGTACTTTATTGAACACATTCTTGATTTCAGTTCTACTAGAAAGGAGTGAGTGAATGAATGAATGAATGAATGAATGAATGAATTAATTAATTAATTAATTAATTAATTTTAGAAAGAAGTGGCATGGTGCCATGATGCTATTGCCTTAGGTTTCATTAGATGCCATAAATTCCTAGCTAAAGCTCCTCAGTTTAATTAGGAATTTGGATGAGTAAGCTCTGACTGCATAGAGGAATTGATTCTGCAGGAAGTCCCAATGTAATATCTGGGGCCCCAGTGTGACCATATATTCTTCCTTTGATCCCACCATTGGCCCAATGTGATTCATTCTCTCTCTCTCTCTCTCTCTCTCTCTCTCTCTCTCTCTCACACACACACACACACACACACACACACAAATAACAAATAACAAATAACAAATAACAAATAGGAAGCTGGCATGCCAGCATCCAACATCATCTTTCTTTCAAGAATTCCTTTTGGTCCCAAAGTGTCCCCTAAGGTTTTATTTGGAAGTATGGTCACTTACTCAGAAAACAAAAAAAAGGCAAATAAAATAGGGAGCACCCTGTGAAATGAGATGGTGGTGGAAAAGATGGTGGGTATTATTCTGATCAGTAGTTTATAACTGGCCATGTCCCATCTGGCAGCCATTTGGTGAATGTGTCTCTTTTCCCTGTAGCCCATTTTGCAAGAGCATATGTTCTCAACATTCCAAATATGCCTATTAGCCCCAAATAGGTTGGGGAGGGCTGTGTGCATTTAAGAATGGTTTGGATTTTTCAGTTGCCTGCAGAGTATCACCATCACTCAAGGGCAGTTTGGCCATGAAAGTGGAGTATAGGGTCACTGTAAGATTGCAGGACCTTGGATAGCTCCGAGCACACAACTTGTTCAATGAAAACTCGAATATCCTTCTTGACCAGACCAGGTTCTGCTGCCTTCATGAGAAATGGAGAGCTTTTAAAGGGACAGTTCCCTGACTCAGAATCTACCATACCATTGCCTTTCACTTAGCTCCCAACTTGACCCCTTGCCTGTAATTTTTTTTTTAAGATAAACTGACTCAGGAGGTGCTATATTAGGGGTCCCTGAATGAAGAACCCTCCTGACTGATAGGCTTCAGCTCAAACTTGTTGAAAGATCCTTTATCTGGGTGTAGCACCTCTGTGGCAGTTTCCTCACTAAAGATCGATAGTGTCTTCTAGCATCATCTGACTGTTGTCTGTTGTTATGCCAGTGTAGCAGTACTGAGGCAAGCTTTATATCACATCAGTGATGACTGGAAGATATTACAAAATGCTATAAAGCACTGGTAGAAAAATGTCCTGCTACTCTTTAGCAGCCCTTTCCTCTCTTTCTCAGAGTCTCAGTTGCTGCTCAGGGTTGGTGGAGTCATGACATACTGCATGAAAGTTAGCTCCTTTGTATGTTCATGCCAAGTGCTTGGTCTCTCCATCTAGTGTGCAGAGGCCTCAAGAGCTCCTCGTTTTAAGCCCTATCATTCCTCATTGCCTTAAGGTTTAGGGAAATTTCCTGTGTCTCCACCCTTTCCTACCTTGCTGAACAGGAAAGGCAAGTAAAGAGAAGGACTGACTTTCTGGAGCCATCACTTCACCAGCTCACTTCAAAAATTTGCCTGAATATGCCAGAGTGGGAAAGTGGGCAGCCCCTGCCTCCTACTCCCTCCAACCTTCATCTGATTTGAAGGATAGCTGTACTCACTTGAATATGAATACAGCTCTCAGTGCAGTTCAGGATCCTGCTTTATGGTCCCGGGTTGTTTGTGGAGACATGCTTACATTCCAGCAAACACAAGTACAATTCCTTTTATGGTCTCCCAGCTGGATGTATAGTATTTAGATTTTGCTTGAATGCTGCCCATTCCCAGAAATTCTAGGTGGCTAAACCTATGAAAAATGCCCCAGAAAGCCCCCAATACATAAACATGTAAAAATAAATAAATATAAACAGATACAAACACCATGGATCTAGAAGCCTACCCTCCTCCTGTGCAAGGTATAGAGCAACCAGAGAGATGGGGAGGTGGCGCTGAGCATGTAACCCTATGTTCGACCCGTTTGCAAGCCTTTCCCTCTTCAGATCAACTTCTGAAGAAGGCTTTGCTCCTCTAGATAACTCCTTGAATACAGCTAAGGTGTATAGTGTATTTAAATGGACTACATAGAGAGAAAAATGTGGAGGGTCATAGACCTGCTCTGACTATTAAGTAATTTTCTTGATCCTTTGAGGATGAGGCTCACAGTTGCAGTTGCTTTGCACCTCCTTCACATGTTCCCTGAATGCCTCTTTCATCACCATGAAAAAACTTTGCACTTGTCTCACTTGGTTGCTGTCTTACATAGCACATAATGTAAGTGCATATGAATACTTTTAGCAGCAAATAGCCGAGTCATCAAATCCTGGCAAGACTGAGTGACTGGGTTTTAGAGCCCCTTGTCTCTGGGGATTTTCCATCTTTAACTCTGCAAGGGGGTACACTTCCCTAGTCAGTCAGTACACAATTTGGGGGTTCTCCTGGACTCTTGGCTCCTGCTCAAACGGCAGGTGGCAGCTGTGGCTGGTGAGGGTGGTTGCACAGGTTCATCTTGTGCATCATTCCTGGACTGGGAAGACCTGCTTAAGGTCATTTATGCCTTAGTCACCTCTTGCTTGGATTACTGTAACATGCTCTACATGGGGCTGCCCTTGAAGAGCATTTGGAAGCTGCAGCTGGTCCAGAATGCAGTGGTGCAGGCAGTTTTTGGCATTTCTCATAATGCCCATATAACACAGTTGCTCCATGAGCTACATTGGCTCCCAGTAGGCTTTTGGATGCAGCTGAAGGTGCTATACATCACCTATATATCACCTATAAAGCCCTAGATGGCATGAGGTCAGGCTAATTGTAGGACCACCTTTCTCCCATTGTTTCTGTTTGCCCCACCAAATCTAGTAGAGAGGCCATGTTCCAGTACCTTCTATTAAATAGTGCCATCTTCTTGGACACCAGAGTCATGCCTTCT